GAAGAGCTTTCTTAGAAATATGATGAGATTCATTACCAAAGTGAGGTACTTTTATAGATGAGAGGGTTTTACATTCTTTCTCAGTGAAAGAATTTAAGAACTACTGATGAATCCCAAGTCTTTCTATATGGCCCAATCTCCCTTCTGAATTTTGGACCCATATACTCAACTGCTTCCCAGACATCTCAAGGATTTCCCACAGAAGTTTTAAGCCCAGTGTTGAAATTTGGACTCTACCTTCATTCCTTTCTACTGCTCCCTCCTGCCTGCCCCTCCCCTTAGATTCTGCATTTCTCAACCATACACCAGATTGCTCAAGACAAGAACCTGGGAATCATTCTTGACTCCACCCTCTTCCTTATCTCCAAATACAACCAAACCCAAGAGTCCTATCAACTGTCCATTTCCCCACCACCACCATGCAGTAGATTACTGAAAAAGCATACTAGTTGTTCTCCTTCCATTTTGTCACCCTCTCCTCCCAATCCATTGTCCAAAGTCAGTAATTTTTCAAAAATACAAATATATTTGTGTCACTGATCTATTTTAAAGGCATCCATTCTCAGACACCAAGTATAAACTCCTTATTAAGGTTTCTAAGAACGTTATTAATCTGATTCCTACCTTCAACTTCCTTTACTGCCATTGTCCTCCCAACTATGCCCCAGCCCCTTAAATGTAAATAGTTCACCTAAGCTCATTGATATGGTCTTTCCTGTGCCTCTCAGCCTCCCAGTACACCTGACAAAATAAAGATACCCCTCACCGTCCAGATCTCAGTTTATTGGTCTTATCCAATTGCGCATCAAACACACTTGGGGTTAAATGGCCTTTCTAAATGCTATGATGATACCTAAGACTTCTTTCAGTTATCTGCATTACTCACTAGACTATGTACGCTCTTCACACACCAGGCAGGAAATTGGACCCAGTATATAGTGACTATTATCAAATTAAAAAATACATATGTTATTGAATAAATGAACATAGGCCTACAGGTACTTGTGAGTGTTAGCACACATGTTATGTAATAAAACTGTTCTATACAACAGGAGTCCCCAACCAACTGCTCTGTGGCCTGTTGGGAACCAGGCTGCACAGCAGGAGGTGAATGGTGGGTGAGCGAGCATTACTGCCTGAGCTCCTCTATCAGGTCAGCGGCAGCATTAGATGCTCATAGGATCAAGAACCCTATTGTGAACTGCACATGCAAGGGATCCAGGTTGTGTGCTCTTAATGAGAATCTAATGCCTGATGATCTGAAGCAGAACAGTTTCATCCTGAAAACATCCCTGCCCCTGCTCTCGTCCATGGAAAAAATTGTCTTCCACGAAACTGGTCCCTGGTGCCAAAAAGGTTGGGGACTGTTGCTATACAAGGTGCTCTGTCCTATAGGGTTCACGAATAGGTTCAAATTTTGTTATTATTTCTGTTTTGTTCTTTTGAGACAATTATAGCAAATTCCTACTTTATCAAATTTTCAAAGAATTCTATAACCTCCAAAATATTGAAGATCATTGAGTTATGTATAAGACGTTGTTAAGGTAATAATGAAACTCAGATTCTCCAGGGCTGTTCCAAATTTACTGATTCAACAAATATTTATTAAAAGCCAATTTCAAATACTTTTTATTATTGTAGCTATCAACCATTCCAATGTCCTGGAATTTCAACATTTTTAGTCAATAGCAATCAAATATATTTAATTTAGGATTAAAACTTTAAAATTATAAATATTTAGAGAAAAATATTGAAATTAAGTAAGATCTTAGAAGCGTTACATCAAGGAATGAACCCTGTTTTGTGTCTTTATGATTCTGTAATATCATTATTACTTATACCAAAACACATGCAAACAAACAGCACAAAAATTTTTAAAGGGAAATGACATTTTTAATTGTGGAAAAAATATTCATATTAAAATATAGCAATCTCTGTGGTCTTTTGATGTATGACTGGTAAGACAATTTGATGCTGCTTCATTATTTCCAAAGAATTCCAAATTAAATTTTTCATAGGGAATGGAAATCGTACGGTCTCTTGAGTAATCTTAAACTTCTAGCAGACACTGTCCACAGCAACAAACTCTGAAGTGGCAGTAAAGCAATATGACTATGGAAGTCTCCCAGTGGAGGAACTGCCACAGTGCTGACAATTATTCAGTGATTTGCAGTGCACCCTCTAGATCAGAAAGTTATGAAGAATTCCCCCAACAGCAACCCTTCACATAGGCACAGTCCAGGAAACTTACTATTAACTGCATTACAGGGTGTCACACTAGGATTTTGACACTAGGCAAAACAACTTTAACCACATCAGCAAAGCAATCATCCAACAGACAAAGCACCATGCCAATGATGGAATAAAAAAGAAAATCATTGATCATAACAAATTTTATAACCAAATAAAAGTAAACAATCTACTTTATATTGGCTCTGATCTTTTAAAAGTACTTCCCATTCTTTTTATCTCAAATCCTATCTCCGTATAGAAATTCAGCATTTTCCTTATCAATTAAATCACTCCTTTTCACCCTCATCTTTGGCCCATTCTTCCTCTCTCAATTTTTTAGATTCATTTTTGTCCCAGAGGTTATGAATGATTCTACAATTCTTTCTGATATTAGGAAATGCTATAATTAAATTATATAGCATGTATCAAATGTGTGCAGACAGAACTTTAAGGATGTGTGTGTGTGTGTGTGTGTGAGATCTCCTTAGACTGCCATGATAAACTTCTACAATTATGTTAATTCATCCACTCAATAGGTATTTGTTGAGTGCCTACATATAATCAAATACAATAGGTATTTGTTGAGTGCCTACTACATACAAAACACCATTCTAGGCATTTGAATACAGAAACAAACAAGACAGACAGATACCTGTCTTCATGGAGTTTGCAATCTATCTAGCCAAACTAAAAAATATATGTATACAAACAGAGAGATAAACAAGAAAAAATATTAGATTATACATGCATACAGTTAAAATGATAGAGTATATATTATGTGTCAAGGTAGTCTGTGGTGCTGTGAATAGAAAAATAAAGAGTATGTGCTTCCAAATAAGTCATATAAACCATACTGTCCATGTCAAACATGTAAACAGATGATAATAATGTAAAGAACTGGACACAATAATGACCAGAAAAATGGAGAGATCAGCTCTGCTTGATGGACAAGAGAGGGTGTCTAAGTGAATATACTTTAGGAAGATCTTGAAAGATGAATTGGAGTTTATCAGAAGATAAGGAAGGCAGAGGAGAGAACAGCATGAAAATATAAGATGACAAGAAACAATCAAGATTTGCAGTTTGCTAAAACACAGAGAATATGTCAGGGGGTATGATGTGATGAAGCTTGACAAAATGCAAGAGCCAAAACAGGGAGGTCATGTGTACTATGTTATAGTTCCTACTATATCCTGTAAGCAATATAGGCCCTCAAAAAGATTATAAAAAATGAAATAAGGTAATAACAGTGGAATTTTTCAAATATGGTACATGGCAAATAGATTTGACAGAAGTAGGTCTGTAGGCATAGAGATCAATGAGGCAACTATTGCAATTCTCCATGTAAGGGTAGATTAAAGGAAGTTCTGGCAAGGAGCACAAAGAAGAGCAGTTCAACAAACATCATGAAAGTGGAACCAATTGAATATGGGAGTGAAAAAGTTGAAAGAATCTAAGAGACATCCAGGTTTATGGCTTGAGCAATGAGTGGTAGAACAGTTTATCAATATAGATAGTTATAGGAAAGAAAGAGCTTTGTGGAGTAAGAAAATCAGTTCATTTCCCATTGTGGAGAAATTTAATTCTAATTTAACCATAGATCTTTTAATGTCTTAGACAGACATGGGTTTGAATTCTAGCTCTTTCACTTACCAGCTGTTTGACTTTGGGCAAATAATTTGCTTCAGTTTCTTCAGCAATAAAACAGATATAGCAGCTACCTTACAAAATTATGGGATTAAGTATATGGAGTGTTTACCTTTTGCCAGAGTTTTACATGTATTATCATGTTTAATCATAACTACATATGTGATTCACATACATATTAATTTACACATGTTAGTACATGTAAACATGTATACCCAGAGATAGGCAGATGGATTAACTCTAACAGTATCACCACATTGTCAGAGAAATGTGTTCAGGATGCCCACTGCAAATCTATTCCAGAGGTTTTTCCCAGAAGATCAAGGAATCGGAGTGGGCACTACTAATATATTTTATTTATAGTTGATTTCCCAAATTCCTTATTAGCAGTAAAACTTTAGCCCTCAAGGTGAGGACATTTTGGGTTCTCTCAAAGGTTTTCCAAGATGGACCCACTGAGGTTCATCTGCATTTGCCCAGCCAAAATGGGTCTGCATTATTTATTTTAAAAATCAGAATTGCAATCTATGAAAGTTGACCAGGTAGATATTTGTATGTGTGTGTAATTCTTTGAAATTGAACACTTATGCACTGAAAGAGTACCCAGGAGTGTGGGAAGTGAAGGAAAGTTGCTCTAAACAGAAAATGAGCAGATAACAAGGAAGAAACAACTTTAGTGAAAAGTTATTTCAAAATATCCTTGTTTAAGAATAGGTGGTCCCAGAATTGCTGAGTTAAGGATAAATGAGGCCTTTTGTTTGGAGTCTCCAACTTTGCACAGTCTAAAACTATCATCATAGCAGATTATTCATCACATTTTCTTAAAGTATGTACACCAAAATTTAGTTGGATGTGGTAGCAGGCACCTGTAATCCCAGCTACTCAGGAGACTGAGGCAGGAGAATCGCTTGAACCCAGGAGGCAGAGGTTGCAGTGAGCCACGATCATGCCATTGCACTCCAGTCTGGGCAACAAGAGCAAAACTCCATCTCAAAAAAAAAAAAAAAAAAGTATGTACACAGAATTTTACTTAGAAATATTAGAGGCATATTGAAAAATTTTACTTAATTGAATCTAATGAGAAATTTTAAACACATTATAATATCTGATGTATAGCTTACCTTGGTCATTACTCTTTGCAATCTTTTGCGTTCAAGCCATCCCCTGACATGCGCCTGCATGATGGTGACCATTCTAATCAATTTTGGGGTAATCATGAATTTTTTTCTTTCTCGGAATACTTGGAAGATTTCTATGTGTGGTCCAATTCTTTTAACTTTATTGTCATGTTTATCAGTTTTATTTGGAGTATCTTTTATCCTAAAAATAAAACAACTTCTTATTATAGATAATATGAAAAATTAACACTTCCACAGTTTTAAATTCTTTCAATGATGAATACATTGAAATAGGAAATATATTATAACTTGTACATAGAATTCAATGCATGTATATACAATTCAAATATGTCAATAAGGTCCTCCAAAGAAGGTTGAATATGCCAAGATCAATATTACATGGATAAAATTCACCTTCTGAAGAAAATAAATCCAAAAGAAAGTGAATTTTTCAGTCTATCTACAAGTATTCAAAAGAGAATGTTTTCATATGACAGGGCAGATTAGTTCAAATAATTTTCTTGTCCCAGAAGCTATTTTAAACTACAGAGTAATTCAAAATTATTTGATTATTTGACACTGATATTCTGTTAACCAAACATCATCAGAAAAATAACTTTGATTCAAATACTTTGAATTGAGAGGCTCTGTACTATGGTGGTAGGATCACGGCCTTTAGGATCAGCAGACGGGAAAGGTGATACCGCAAACAATGACCAGTCTGCAGTATTGCTATGGGTGACTTGGTGGTTAATAATGAGTGTCAACTTGACCGGATTGAAGGAACAAAGTATTGATCCTGAGTGTGTCTGTGAGGGTGTTGCCAAAGGAGATTAACATTTAAGTCAGTGGGCTGGGAAAGGCAGACCCACCCTTAATCTGGGTGGGCACAACCTAATCAGCTGCCAGTGCAGCTAGAATATAAGCAGGCAGAAAAATGTGAAAAGAGAGACTGGCCTAGTCTCCCAGACTACGTCTTTCTTCCATACTAGATGCCTCCTGAAACATTAGACTCCAAGTCCTTTAGTCTTGGAACTCCAACTGGCTCTCCTTGCTCCTCAGCCTGCAGACGGCCTATTGTGGGACCTCCTTATGGTCATGTGAGTTAATACTTAAAAAATTCATATATATATATAAATATATATATGAATTTTGTATATATAAAAATTCTTATATATATATAAATGGAATATATATATGTTCCATTTGTTCTGTCCCTCTAGAGAACCCTAATACAGTGACCCTAGTAGCGATTAATAACATTTGAGAAAATTGAAGATTTACTACCATTAACAGATTATCTGTAATCTTGGTAACCTTGTGTCAGCTTTTTCTTTATATGTATATACCTGTTATGTTTTATATATGATAGCCAGTTTTTCGAAGTCTTCCAAAGTCCAAAGTCTAGTTCCCTTGCAACTTTTAGCATATAAAAATGCTTTCTTCTTCTTAATGTTTTTATTTCTGCCCTCTCACAAATGGAGTTCCACTGACTGAGATGCCCAGGTCAATTCATTCACCAGGGCTGAGTCTTGCCCCAAAAATGATCTGTACCTACATCTCTGAATCCCAGACTCAAGTTTCTTGATTCTCAGAGTGAATCTCTGACTCACATTCACTCTGTTTTAGCATTATTTTCTTAGTCTGTTTTATTTAATTTTTATGTTAAGTTGATTTTTAAGTCTTGTTCTGTTCTGTACATGGCTATTATTTTTATTCTCTCAGTAACTGAAAAGTGGAGTATGATTTTCATTACTTGACCCAGCCACGAAGTCTCTGTTCAGTGGTAGATGGCAGGAAAACCCAGTTCTGTCTTTCTGTATTTGTCTTTCTGTAGTTTTTCTTGAAGCTTGTACTACCTCCTGAGATTCTCTATATTGTATGTCATTTGAACACTAGCATAACACCATTTTTGAACATTAGTTTGAATACCATTCAAGAGAAAATTTTGCACTCATTAGAATGGAGATCAGCCCCAGATCAAGAAATTTTCATAAGAAGAATTTGTTGTAGATCTTTTTGACTTCCTGACCTTCCTACTCCCAAGTAGCTGCAATGAACCAGTGAGATTTGTTGAAGCACAGAAAATTGTGCTGTATATTTATTTTTGACCTATATCTAACTATGTATAACTGAGGCTGCTAGTTCTCTTTGTGTCTATGTTTGTAAATGAAAAAAAAAGTCCTTTTCCTTCTTGCAAAAGGAAATAAATTAGCTTCGTACAATATTCATGTAACTGGAGCTCTTTTGTATCAGTGGCCGATTCATTCTCTCATTCTCTCTTTTTCACTCCCTTGAAAATGTTTATACATTACTGAGCCAAATATATATCATTTTGTACGCTGAGGGATAGATATCTTATTAAACAAAGCTGCCAGAAGAGCTGAAGAATAGGAAACAAAGTTTTGTATTTGTTTGTTTAAATTAAGACTGATTTTGAATAGCTTAGAAAAGAGGCAGCTCTGCCTTCTAAGAGGATTTTTGCTTGGTTAATATTATACATTTTAGGAATGGGCATTGATGTATGAGATCAAGTGGAATGCAGGTGAAATGGTAATGATTACTTCTTGCTTGTCCATATCATCATGATCTACTATGAAATCAAAGAAATTCTGAGTTGACATCTTTTTCTCATTTCTCTCAGAGGAAATAAGAGGACTGTTATAGAAATAGTTAAATACCCAAACCAAAAAGTGAGGGAAGGTTTCATGTTCTAACGAGATGCAAATAACAAAGGAATATGTGTGATGGTAAGGTGATGTGTAATGTGTATTATTGAAGTGACAGCTCTAGGTCATTAGAGTCTTCTGGTCTCCTAAGTTGCCTTGAAAGGCACAGAGTTTTTAATCCTCTACTGAAAAGTGTGTGTGTGTGCATGTGTATGAGAGAGACAGACAGAGAGATAAAAGAGACAAAGAAAGAGAGACAGAGACAGACAACAGAGACCGAAAGAGAACTGAAGGTTATTTCGGGTAAAAGTTGTAGTTCATATGAGTGATCAGAACTATATTATGTAAAAAATATGAAGAAATGCAAGCATGTTTACAAAATGACGAATGTGATTTGTCTGGTTCTCACAACAATTGAAAAACAAATGAATTTTATCTTAGGTCTGAAACAGATGAACTTTGATCAATACCATATCTCTAGATAACTGGAATGTTAAAGAAAAGACAAGAACAATTTATAGAAGTGAACAATTTATAGACGTCTTGATGGAAAACAAATTGTATTTACAAATAATGAGTTTGAAAAGAAGCGAATACACTAAATTTTGACAATGGTAAATTCTGATGAGCTTAATCATAAAACAGAGAAATGCTTGTGAATCCTTAACTATAAAACATTACATAGGTGGTATATTTTAAAAGTAAAATTAGAATATGATATCACTTTTGTTATACTGACAAACTGATTTTTGATTACACAGTCTGCTCTTAACAGAGGGAAGACCATTCTGTGCCTTCAATATATTTTGCCCAAATATCAAAAAGTTCCTTTTATCACTTAAGTATTCCTTTTATCATGCTTATGAATCTTTTTTCTCTTCTTTGTGACTTTTTTGCAAAGTTTGGTATTCCTAACATTTAAAGTTACTTTGTTACTTGTGTCTCTGTTATTTCTTTTTTACTCAAAAGGCACCTACAACTTCTGTTCATATTTTACTTCATCTGACAATTTTTTCAATATTTTCCCCGCATTCAAGTTCCAAATTTTATTTTATTATTATTATCCTCTTTTTGAGACAGAGTCTCGCTCTGTCACCCAGGCTGGAGTGCAACAGTGCAATCTTGTCTCACCACAACCTCCGCCTCCCGGGTTCAAGCAATTCTCATGCCTCAGCCTCCTGAGTAGCTGGGATTACAGGAGTGTGCCACCACACACTGCTAAGTTTTTGTATTTTTAGTAGAGACGGGGTTTTGCTATGCTGGCCAGGTGGGTCTTAAACTCCTGTCCTCAAATGATCTCCTGCCTCCAACTTTCAAAGTGTTGGGATTACAGGCATGAGCCACAGTAACTGGCCTCAAGTTGCAAATTAAAAGAAAATAATAATAGTAATAATAATGTCTTTTTAACCTAACTTTTGGGTACCCCAAATGGCTTCAGGATCATACCAAAGATGTTCTTCTTCACTTATAAAAGGAGGGCTGCAACACATGACAAGGTACGTCTTGCATGGTTGTTATACAAATGTTATAACAATTTTATTTTTTTAAAACCAAAGATGACTCCCATATATTGGCCCTTACGTTTACTTCTGCATATTAGGACCATTGGCTCAACAGCTTGCCAGCTCCAAATTCAAAATTCTTAGACATTCAGTTGTTTTAAACATGGCCCAAATAAGCATATTTTTAGCCATTTGGAGTCTACTTGCTTTGCCTACACCATGAAATCGCTTCCAACATCTGTTAGACATCAATAAGGCAAATCCGGGGGCTATAAAAGACCTCATGCCACTGCTGCTCTTTGGAGCTCAATGACCCAGAGATTCTCCATCCTGTGGTTGAGTGTCATCATCTAGACATGGAAGTCCCCCCTCTGATTTCCCTCTCCCACAGGAGATCGCTACTCCTTCTGGGTAGGGGCTCCATGTCACAGTCTCTGGAAGGCCTTTGCTGGGAGAGACTTCTCATGCAAGCCTATCCATGTGCTGACCAAATAAAGCTTGGTATTGGCTACTGCCACTTCAGGGTCATGTCTTTTTCTTGACCAGAGCCATGATCCTCGACCTTGTTACAATGGTCCTTATTTTTATCTAATTCAATACTGTATTGAGGACTGTCCTGTTTATCAAATTTCAAAATATAAAAACAGGTGACTAATCAAGGAAAAATTTGGCCTAAGTTGAATATATAACAAATAAAATATTAATAAAGCCGGGTGCAGTGGCTCCATGCCTGTTATCCTACCACTTAGCAAGGCTGCGGCAGGTGGATCATTTGAATCCAGGAGTTCAAGACCAGCCTGAGTCATAAGGTGAAATTCTTTCTCTACAAAAGCAACTATGAAAAATTAGCCAAGCATGGTGGCACATGCTACCATGAGAGGCTGAGGTGGGAGAATCGCCCAAACCCAGGAAGTCGAGGCTGCAGTAAACCATCATCATACCACTGCACTCCAGTCTGGGTGAGAGATTGGGACCCTATCTCAAAATATACATATACATATAAGTTTTTACATTTACATAAACATATTAGA